TGAGAACACAAATTCATTTTTCACACTAAAGCCTAAACTTCCAACTGAAATCATGTTCCGAAAAAAAATTGTTACAGCAAAGCTTTAAAAGTCTCTGCTGCCTTTTTTAAAAATGTTCTTTAAACCGACTTTACACATATTGTATTTTCCATTTAAAAAAATATTAACTCCATGTGAACCCAAAATTAAACACTGTTGCAGTGCTACAAGGTAAGCTAGTTATCAGCCTTATGGACAGTAATTAGGAATTATTCAAGGAACAGGGTATTTTTTTCCATGCAAATGTGGTTTTATAACATTAATGGACTGGATTCAGCAAATGAATATATGCAATTAAATTCCTTATAAATTTGCAGGCACATTTTGATTTAAGGATTAACTGACAGTGGTAGTGTAACTTTTTATGGATTGTCCATAAATTAGCACGACTGACAGCTCAGCCTGATTAATCCAATATAAACATGCGCTGCACACACTACCATTTGTCTCACTGCAAAGTGCAATACCGATTCTCGCACATCCTCTAATGCAGGAAGACAGCAGTTTTCTTGTGGGGTGGTGGGGGGGAGAGAGAGAGAAGGGAAGTCAACGGCCAATATAGGACACGCTGGCATGCAGACATTAATACCAGTTATTTGAAGCCACTTCACTCATTTTAAGTCAAGCCTATAATGACATGCTAGCAAATGGAACAAGATCTGAGTATCTGTTACACAAAAAAGAAACACCACACTGGCAATTCATATCTAAAAACTATTTTGTGCTGTAATACCACACAAGGCTTGTTACATACATATTGTACAATTTATATCCATGTTTACCAAAAAATGTCATGCTTATTCCAAATTTGACTAGTTAAAAATCCATGCAAGTGGAAATAACCACCAAATTTAAATTCATGGATAAACAAATATTAAAAGCTAAAATGATACTAAAATACAATTACATGACAACCATAAGATATCTGCAGTGAATGTTTTAATGCATGGGTTAGCCTGTTACTGCTGTGGACCGAAGGCATAATCAGTTATGGCTGCTTATGTCACTTCCTTCCGTCTTTTTCAGACACCATACATTTAGATGCACTGCCGTCTTCGTCGCAGCAAATCTCAAAATGAGCACACAGGACTAAAAACATGGCGCCAAGACCAAGCAGGCATATTTGCTTTCTCTGTATTTGCATGGTTTCCGCAGACGTGCCATTCAGATGAAGAGGTGACTAACCCGCCTGTGTCACACTGGTGTGTGCTGGGACTGTCTCCAGTCGCTAACTGGACAAGCAGTTATGAATAATGGGCTAAAGGCTGAAAAGTTCTGGTAGATATGGAGAAATAAAATTGATTTTTGCTGTTAATTGCAGGACTGTCTGCTTGGATTTACACTAACAGTGCTCACTCATATTAACGTACAAAAACATTTGTCAAAAAAGTTTAATTAATGAATTTAATTTCACATTTAATAACTAAGATATTACATTCACCATTTATATGATAAACCATAAAATTATGTTTCTTCTAATACCTTCAAGACAAACTTACCTGCCATGATTTATGGTAAAAGAACTGTAGGACTGGAAAACAAAATAAAATCAATTAGTCTGATCAAAGACTGGATGCTCATAGTTGTGATTCCTGAATAAAGGAGAAAATTAAAAGAGAAAGAAAAAAAAACAACAACATGGTCCAACGTTTAAGCACTTTAAGCAACCCAAGAAGGGGGGGGGAGGGGTTTGGAGCACAGTCATACACTATGGGCAATTTAATAGACACCAATCAACCTAACCAATTAGCCATCATGCTGCCCAAAGGGGACAAAATGCTAGAGATAACAGTCACTAATAATTATTGCTCCAATGTACATAAATGCTGGAAGGCTGTGATAAAAAAAAAAATCCCCATTAAAATTATTCTTCACATGTGGACAATGAGGACCACAACAGACCTGCAGTTATACTGACTGACCTTGCAGTTAGGCTGCAACAGAACAGAACACACAGATTGGAGACAATGTAACTACAACATGTCACACTGACAAGGTTGACAAAACACATTTCCAGTTTGTGGATTCAATGGTGAGCAGGGGAAAAGGAATGTGTTTCTACCTTTGTCTGATAAACACCGGACGTAGCTGTCCCCCAGTTCACATGCTGCATGTACTCCTTGTACATATGCATACACACAGGACATTGACAGAAAGGCCACTTAAAGTTTACTACAAATTAAATAGCCTCAATGTAAAATTCAACCTGCAGTGGATACATCACCAGTACTCCCCAATCTCAAATAAACAAACAGTTCAGCAATAATATATAAGGAATTCCAGTGATTGCGGATTTCATATTGTTTTAGGACTGGGTTAGAAGTTATGTTGACTTTTAATGTCATACCTGCAACTAGGGCCATATTTATGGCTAGAGTATATAAATCGTAAAACAGAGAGAACAATAAAAGTGGTAAAAATGCATTTTGCAGTTATTTATGAATGTATCTAAATGTGATGCTTAAGATTAGTTTTCAGTTAGAAAATTTCTAAAAAGCCTCTGGCTTGACTTTACCAAAAACCTCTGTTACAGAGTCCATAAAATGGTAAATGCACCAAAGAGATTTGAAAGAAGGACAATACAATAAAATGTGCTTAACAGTTAAAGAAACTTTTCATGCAGGACATACAGGTGGATCTTCAAGTTAAGTAAAACATGCCAGTTAGCCCAGTGATGCCCTATACGACACCTTGATGACCTGATCCTATTGGTTTATAAAACTGACTGTTGCACCAATTGTAATAACAGGGGAAAATTCAGAGAGTTTATTAATTATGCTAATGTCCCATTCACTTTTATTTTTAGGGTTAAGTAAGTAAACCACACTGTTCTCCTGTTACATAAGAAAATTTACTGTGATCAAGTTAATTCAATAAACACACATGCAACCTGGAGTAGAAAACTTGAAATGGTACCACTATGCAACTCAAGCAGCTAATGTAGTTCATGGCTTTTTGTTGGTTAATTTGCAACGTTCCAGTCTTATTATATATGGCTTTTTCCAAGTCTGTGACTGCAGTTCATCTTATCAAGGTTTAAGACAGGAGGTGAGTGAGTGCTGAGAGAAGGTCAGTGCTTAATATATTCAGGTCTCACTTGTGAGCCCCTTTGTACATACTGCTAGCACCTAAGGATCTTGTAGTATACCTGGATCACGTAGATCACACTGCAGGACAAAGTTTCTAGCACATCACTAAAATCTGGTTCATTAAAAGCCTCTAAAAAGGCTCCCCATTACCATAACATTATTCACAGAACATACATACACTGTATTTGTTGGACTGATTCATAAGTAATTTGCAACCAGGGTAAATACTTCTTACTAATTTTAACACTATCAATATCAATAAAATCAGAAAACATTTTTATATTCTGCTCTCCCTTCAAGCCTGAAAGTGACATCCTTATTATATTAAAATCTTGTGCATTTGTTCTAGAAACAAATAAAAAAAAATGTATCTGAAAAGCAACACTTCATCTGCCATTAAAGGGTCTTTAAAATAATCATTCAGAATGAAAGATCAATGAGAAATGGATTGTTTTGCAAAGAACCTGTAATTTACCCTTACATGGATAATTAATCAAGAACCTTCAATGGTAACTATTATTTAAATAACATTAGGCCTGCCGACAAACCCTAAAGATGCAGCTCAACGACTTGTTATACAATCAGATACAAATGCATGCCATATTATTATAAGCCTACAGTTGCATACATGGTAATGGTAAATCTAGAATAAATATACACGGCCTTGAACGAGCAGCACTGTACATGAATTAGATCTCTGGAGACCACTCTGAATTTATCTGCATAACTGAGACAGCATATTTCTCTGCTACAGTAAAATCCTGTTATAACGGACTTCAAGGGACCTGGCAAAACAGTCCGTTATATCCAGAGTTGCTATATGCCCAGAACACAACTACAGGACACCATTTACTCATGCCACACCTCAGCAGACACACTTGTGGTACAGATTATTATATTGTACATGTAGTAATCCAACTTTACCTGAGCAGATGCGTGACTATTAATAATCCCGACTAAGTATCTGCGCTGGATATCACCGTCACGCCACATGCCTTGTAGGCGGAGCCTGCATGTCCGTTATAGCCGAACAAAACTACAGCTAATAGTGGCCCCGGGGACCAAATTGTTTGTCTGTTATAAGCAAAATTCTGGTATATGCGAGTCCGTTATATCCAATGCTTTTTCTGCATGTTCTTAAAGGCGCAGAGCCGGGACCAGCGGACCTCGTCCATTATAGACGATATTCCGTTATAAGAAAGTCCACTATAATGGGATTTTACTGTTTACATCAAAATATGAGATTGTGTGTGTGAGACACACACACACACACACACACACACTAATGAATAACTGGAAAATAAAAGTAATAAATAAAAAAAACTAGAAGAGCCTTAAAGAGTATGGAGAAATGGTTTCAAATGTGCAAATATTTATGGTGGACAAACACTGCTGCTTTTGGTTTTGCTCTAGTAAAGGTTTAATTTGAATCAATGAAAAATATTTGTTCAAAAGTTCAAGATGGCGAGGGAATAAATACTGCCCACAGTATCAGCAACTTCTCTGAATTGTTTGCAAAGCTGCCAGTAAAATGCCATTTTCCTGCCATTTCATTTTTAATATATTTAGCACATTACTGGATACTTATTTGGCGATAGCAGAATTTTGAATGACAGCTGGAAAACTGAATTGTGAATGTTATAAGTTAATATATCATTACCTTATTTAAGAATTAAGTAACATTTTGACTTTATCCATGCATCCTTAATCATATCATTTCCTTTTTTCCAAAACACAAGCTGAATTTAAAGGCAATTCAAAGTAATTAATGGCACCTAAGACAACAGGGGTGGTGTCCACACCCACACTAGTTACACTGCCAAACCAAGCCAAAAAGCTACTGTTCATTCAACAAACTTTAACTGACAGATAAACAATGAAATAAATTTTATTATCGCCACCTGCCTTTACAACCATCCATTAAAATGTCTATTTTAAGTTTTCACAAAAGGACAAGTGGACGTTTTAAAAAAATTAAAAAAAAGGAGGAGTATGCAGGGAATCATTTTTCGTAATGATATCCATATTAGTTATGCAACAGTTCCTATGAGGCCTTGAATCCTTTGAAAGACATCCTACGTGTGCAAGTTCAATTGATCTTATATGATAAGATCAATTGATATCTACATTTCATGATATCTACATTTCATGGTTTTATCAGACATTCACTAACCATTAGACAGGCAGCAGAACATCGCAGATGATTTTCTCTTGTAACCAGTAAGGTTTAAAAAAATGTATAAATGCTTAAAAAAACCTAAGTGTAAAAAAGGCTAAAACAAATAAAACTGCTTGCACAAACCCACACCCATCAGAAAGTGAAGGCCTAACACCAGTGGTCACAACTGGCTTAACATCATACTCTTAATAATTACTGTAATCAGTTTAAGTTCATTTTCCCCCCAAATACATCCATCAATAAATCTTTATCCTGAATTTATACAATTAGTTTTGGAAAAGGCACAGGTATAATAGAACAGGTAATGATACGTGTAACTGTACCAGTACAGGGATATGGGCTTTAGACCCCTCTTTTATATTTAATGGTTGCAATTTTTCCCCATGGTTTGAAGATACTGTGATTCAGCATAGCACAACTATTGATGATAACATGGTTGCCTTCATAGGAGCTGTAGGGGTAACGTGAGATTAATAAAATATATAATGGTTTACTGGGTAATGATTCAACTGTCGTAAACCTCACCAAAAGATAGTTACACAAACACACATACACACAGGAGTACATGGATGCCTAATAACAACAAAGCACTAAATTTCCATGGAAGTTAATGGAAGCAATATTTACAACCACAAATGGTATTGTTTTCTCATGATCAATTAGAATTTCTTTAAAACAAAAAAAATGCAATGAGTATCTAAAGCAAATCAATACTTATTATGCATATAACAAAACTATAAAGGATTCTGCAGAAGAATCAATGAGGAACATAAACATCTATTTAAAAAAATTCAAGTCAGCTCTCATAAACATTGCTTTTAATTCATTCCTTTGTATCTGTAATATGCCATTGCTAATGGCAAAATTAACTGAACATTTAAATTCAGTTTCTGTAAGGCAACTGCCAGAGGTCTGTAATGACATCCTTAAAAAGACTTGTCAGTCATTCATAGAAAATTAGTGGCAAATGCTCACTTTTCACCAGAATTAACAAAACACAATAAAAGAAAAAGGAAATCATAAAAATGCATGAAACAGCAATATAATTTTATAGCGAATTATAAAATTAATTTATAACAATCGTCTTCAAGTGAGCAAGTATGAACTAATGTAACAAATCAAATTCTAATTTATATTTTAAAATAATGTCAATGGAGAAACGTTCATGAATAATGACATAATATCAATATCACCAGGAAACCAACCTAGTGATAAGTAACTAATAACATTTGAAATATTTCAAAAAACATACTTTGCAAATTAAATTAAAAGCCATCTTTATTACATACACAAAATCACAAGTGTTCACCATAGCTTAATAAAATGTTGAAACTTGCTTTATTCCTTATGTTTAATCATAGCCTGTTTGCTTAGAGTCCATTGTTATCCACTGCATGTTACACTGCCCATAATCACATGGAACAGAGAACTGACCTTTGTTGTACAAAAACAAATTGATCTGGTTGCATATTCAAGAGAGATTTCGCTTGTGATTATACCAGAATCTGCTAAATGCCAACATATTTCTGGTTTCAAATCTTCATCCATCACATTTTCCAAATTGTCATTTAAATTAATATGGTCAACTGTTCAACCTCATTTTGTGACATTTGCACTAGGTGAACAGATCCCTTTGTACCCCTCCATAATAGCATATATTGTCCTAATTCTCTTAAAATTTTTGGAAAAGAGTGCAGATTATGGCAAAAAACTCAGCAGTAGCAACAGAAGGAAAAGATTTTGTTTTTCACAAAGAAATTGTGACCACTGTTGTCAAACCTTTACTGAAAAACAACTAACAGACAACCAATGCAGGAAAGTTCTCATGTCATTAATGTAATGTAATTAATGAATTTGGATTCAATTAATTACATTCCCTTGAGTTACAGAAATAAGAACACAAAACAAGTTAACAAAACTTTATTCAGTGGTCTTGTATGCCCATCTACACAAAGCACTAAGCACATACAAACCTAAATGTGGTTACGAAACACCATATACCGCTATACAGGCATGCACAAAAAGAACATCAAAAAAGAAAACTGAAAACCCTTTACGCAGCAGAAAGCTTTACAACCCGGATTATTTCGTGGAAAGGATGTGGCTTAATTCATAGGCACTATTCTCCCATGCGTCACTGCATGTATGGTAAATTTATCATTTACCTTTAAAGGCCTAAACATGTAATGAAAGTATCGGCTTATAAAGAGCGGCTTTCACAGTACACACCAAAATGAGTGCCAAGTGTCAGCCTCAATAAATAGTGACTTCTACAGGCCACACATCTTGCTTGTGCTCCGTTAGCCAGAAGTTTTCATGTGTCATCATTACACATGGGACGGTTAGTTCACCCTTCCAGTATCTCTCAGCTGGTCACTGCACAAGTGCTTTCTACAGACTCATAAGGCACCTGCTGGTTGGCAGTAGTCAACTATGCTGCTCCACTGGGCATCAGCAACTTCTGCCCTGCATGACATAACCTGTAGAGTGTGAAGTACACTGCCATATCTGCCTGGTGAGTATCTTCATAATAAGAATGTTATGCCGGCAATATGGTGATAAAAAAGGAATAAATATCAGGTAGAGAAGGTATAAGGCCACATAGCTTTAAAATGTTTGGTGTGTCACCTGAAATGCAAAATTAAAAATTAAACACAGAATATTAATAAATCAACATACAAAATAATTCATACAAGTCATAATTTGGCATGTGTGTGAAAGCTTGAGATAATTGCCATAAATAATACAATTTATTGATCTTACAATCCTTGTACCTTTAAAGTATCTTGGAATGGTGTGTGAGTGTGCCCTGTGATGGGTTGGCGCCCCATCCTGGGTTGTTCCCTGCCTTGTGCCCGTAGCCTCTGCAACCCCGAATAGGACAAGCCGTTTCAGAAACTGAATGGATGGATGGATGGGAGTGCATCTTGATAGAATAATTCCATATTCCCATATTTCTAGCTACAGGACTGATAATGAAGACATTTTGGATGTTTGAACTTAATATATTGTGACCAATCAGTGCCTGAGAAAATATAACTGACAAATGAAAACAGATTTTACATGCAGTGATACCCATTTAATCCTCACTGACGACATATTGGCAGAGTACATAAGAATGAAGGGCAAAGCAGGATTACTCTTATTACTCCTACAGACTGTCCCTAACTCACAACCTATGCGACTTACAATGATACACACGTACAGGTTTTTAAATTAATTAATAAGCCATCAAGCAACCAACCAACCAAATAAATAAAGTTGAACAAATTTATGCAAAAAAGTTGGAGGTTGTACAACTAGCAATACTACTCTACCTACTGCATGCTGCGTGCCATATGATAGGTGCCGCAGAAAAGTACTGTACGGCAATGAGATCATCCCCACCTCACGCACATCTCTGTTTAATGCTCAAAAGTCAGTGCGATTGCCCTATTGCAACATACGTCAATTTCGACATAAAATCAGAACAGAACCGAGTCGTAATTCAGTACAGTCTGTATCTATGCATAAAAAAGTAGGAATTATGCATAAGCAATGCACTGATGTGAAGGTCCTCAACATTAAAAATCACTAGGAATAAATATTTTTAGCATAGTAGTGTAAGTTCTGTAAAAGCTTAGCCATATAATTGACATTTAAAATACAATAATACAAGCATCGGGACTCAACTAGATCTAATTGTGTTACTCTGGAAATAAGACTTTTACGGAAATCCTTAAAAAGAGTGTACAACACTGATTATCAACCCAGTCTGCGGGGGCCTCCAGCAGCCTACATTTTTGCACCCTCCAAGCACACCTGAACCAAACAATCAAACAAGTAGGAACACCAAGTACCTGGTGGAGGTGTGTTAGGTGCATAGATTTCATAGTCCAGAAAAAAAAATACATGCATTAATAACAGCATTTTAACAGTGATTTGCTGGTAATGTGTATTCATGGTCAGAAAAACCATGCACAACATTATATAGCAACCTCAATATTTTTAAACAGTTTGGATGTACAAAATGTGTGTAGTAACTTGCACATCACTTTGAACAAAAAACTACTACTAAATAAATTAATGTGCTGCAATCTACCATCAGGTTAAAATTTTTATGAAACAGATGGGAAATCACTACAATTAATTTTTAAAAATGCATGTCAGACCTGATTGTTTATTAAATGAACACTGGTACTATGAAAATAAACCTGCAATAAACCTGATGGTTTGAGACAGGTCAAGTCAGGTCAGTTTGAGAGCAAAAATGAAGTTTTATTTAGGTATTATACAGGCCCAACTATGACAATTGCCACAAAAGCATTCAATCAGAACAGTAATAAAAAAAGGAAGTTAACATTACAAGTAAAAATCAGAGAGAGCTTCTCAAAAGCATCACATAAGTAAACTACTATATGAAGCTACTCCAACATTGTCAACAGCCATTCATGACTACTGTGAATATTTAAAGAAAACTCTTTAAAACCCAGCAACAGGTCTTTGAAATATATTGACTGTTGCTTCTTAAAATCATTACCCAGTCCCAGCACAAAAACAAGCCAAATTAATTAGTTTTGTTATTATGCCAAGGTGGGATAAAGCACTGACGTGTAGCTATTATCTAGATAAGCATTTTAAACATTTAAAGATTTTTTAATAATAAAAAAATCTTTCATTGTCAGACCAAAGGTTCCAGAATTCAAAATATTTTGCTGATTTAAAATAATTTTTTTCCTCACTTCAACAAGCACCAACAATTCCATCACAAAATAATTACCATAAACTACACCACTTATTGTAGACTTCTTTGGATCAAACTAAATGTTTTAAAAATATAGAATTTAAAAACACTAAACCACTCAGGTAAAATGTCTGTATAACGATCATTATAAAACAAAGTTAATAGCTTTGCTTTATTTATTTTGCACAATGATACTTCATAGTGGGGTATCCTTCATCATATTCCACCTCTAGTAAAGCTACTGTAATTCAGTATTTTATGACAAATACTCAAGGAGAAGTCTGAAATAGACAGATCTTAAAATAAGGTTTAGGTGTAGAGCTGTCATTATCAAATTTATCAATAACTGAGTAAGCTACAGATTAATCTGAGGATTCATCAAGTAGTTGTTTATATATCATAATATACTATAACTAAATTATAATATAATTAGGCTAGCACAAGGCAGGGACAAATCATCCATTGCACAGTGCACACTCAGTCATACATACCAGCAGTTTAGGCACTCCAAATCATTTTAGCTGCATGTTTTTGGACAGTGGAGGAAAACCAGAGGATCCACTGAAAAGTCACGCATACAGAGTGAACATACAAACTCCACACACACACACACAACATGGCGGTGTGTGGCGACAGTGCTACCCACTGCGCCACTATACTGTCCTCATTTTATAGACATGCACATGGTGCAATGTTAATATCGACATGGCATTCCATGCACATGCAACTGTCACATGGCAAGGACCACAAGAGTCTGCTGGGTTCACATCATCAATAAAATGTGCTGAAATATTTTTACTCAGTCTGATGAAACATAACTTAGCAAGCTTTGCAATTTTAATGATGGTTCCTTTTCAACATTATCCAGGGTATGCTTTAAAAATTAATAAATAAAGAAGTTTACCACCACTGCTTTTGAATGAACTCTGCATGAGCTCCCCAAGACAATCATTATCATTCCCATTCTTGCTGTTGAACTTACTCATAGATCTTGTGGCACATTTGAGAAATTAAACAAGTCAAAAGGCGAAAACGAACTGGTCATAAAAAAAGTCTTTCCACTATATGGAAATATTTTGTATTCCATACAAACAATATTGAGCAGAAGTAAGTTTTGTCAGCACTGCTTTATATCTGCTAGCACAAAGCACGGCACCACCAACTTATGACAGACTTTTCAAATTTTCAACTGCTAAATATCGCAAACACTAGAAATATAGCAATGTGAACTTTTTCCAGTTTTGTTCAGCCCTAACACACAATGTGTTCACAAAAAATAATTCTAATTGGTTATATGTACCATACTATGTAAAATGATGCAGCTAGAAGGGTCTAACCTTTGTTTAAGCAGCGACTATTTTGACATACGGGATTTGTAAAAAGTAAATTAAACAAAATAATTTCAGTCGAAGTGGTGATAAAGGCATGCTAGGCTACTCTGAGAGGCGAAATGTAAGATATCTCATATCTAACCTTGCATTATTGAATGTCCCTCAAACATTTAGGTCTTCTTTTACTGTGTATTTGCATCGCAGTCATGCTGTGGTGATATTTAAGTTCTGCTTTGAAATACTGACAGATGACTGCATTTTCATTCACTTTTAATGTAAAATGCTTCTACATAAATGATGCTTTCGGTCATTATTTGGATCCTCATCTCTATGCATCATCTTCCTTCCACCATATTGCAGAGTAATCGAGAAGGAAAATTTTAATCAAGGCTTTTTAATAATCACGTAATCGAGTTAAATCGAGTAATCACGAAAGCTCTAGTTAGGATACAGTGGTGATATTTGAATCAGAAATTTGCTCCACTTTATTCACTTTTTCTGAATTTTTGTTCCACTTCTGTTTGTCCCACAGAAATTTGAAACTTCAACACAGAGAAAGCTCAAAAAAAATAATACTGCTTACAAAACATGGCCTTTAGTTAATTGTGTATATATTTAACAAATTAAAGGCCAATCATGATAACCACGCAATACATTTCAGAGAAGGTGTGTCACACACAAAAAAGGAAATAATAATAAAAAAATTTTTTAAAAAAGCAGCAGCAAAATATTTAGTAACCACAGCTCATTATTCGGGAGTATTTGGAGGAGAAAAAAAAGATTTTCATCCAAAGGTGAGCTCACAGGGTCAGCCTTCACAACTGTCATAGGTTAAAACAAGTCACCGACTGTATCAAACATCCAGGGCCCAAAGGCAGAGTTCAAGTTAAAATGGTCCTGAGTGGTAACACCACAATAAGGATTATGCACCAATTTAAACACCAAAAAATACATTTTCCTTACAATTAATTATGCAGACATTTAAAAACACTGGTGGATTAATGACCCTCTTTTGCAGAATTTTATTAAGTACAGGCCTATATTTAGGCCTAACATGTGACATAAGTCAAGAAAGTTCCTTCATAGTTTGACTATGAAATGTCAAATTTGCCATTGGCCATTTTTTAATCAATAGACAAGACAGTTTGGGAGAGGAATGATCAGTATGCAGCAAAAAAATGGTTATCAAAGGTTGATAAAGGGAAATGGTAGATAAATCATTTTAAGATCAGTCAGCAGTTGTGAGAAACCACTCAAGTAGGCAAGCAAGCAAGATTCACCGTATGACACATTTTGAGATGCACTGTAAAGTGTTCTGCTCGAGCAGCCACACGTTATGTTGCCTCGACATCTATTCCTCTATTTTTGTGATCAAGGCAAGGATGCTATAGAGGGAGAGCTACTCAACCCCACTCCCTTTAACTGATAACATTTCAAGGTCCTGGGGGAGGTTAAGTTTCCAAATTTCAACCAACTGATATGTAAATCACTGAATGTTTGGATTTCATCGGATGTGATTATTTCCATTTAACTCCATAACAAAATGTATGCTAATAATGATCATTTTTGTGTCTAGCTTTACTTTTCCTATGTTAAACATTGGCCTTTATTATGATATAAATATATGACAGGATTCATCCCTGGTCAAATCCAACCAGCAGAGGACCTCTGTATATACCCTGTACCAGAAATCTATTGTAATGTAATGCCTTTTTCTTCCAAAAATTGCAAAAACTAAGCATAGTGCCTTAGTTCAGACGTAGGTTGGTGTGTTACTTCTGAACAGTTCGGGGTGAATTATGTCATAGTCACCATTTCCTGTGTTTCAAATCAACTTCAGATATTAATTTACACAGGTTCTACGAAAAAGGTAAGTAGTGCAGCCCACCTCACAACATTGTAGCTAAAAGGTGTACATTCCAGGAATGTATGGTAGGGGAGGAAACTGTGTTATATTCTTAAAATGTAAGAAATCAGCAGGAGAGCACATATCACACTTACAGCAGCATGGCATTTGTTCCATGTTACTTTGAAGCAAGATATTTCTTTTGAAGCCAGACAAATCTCATACAAACTCAAACTTAGTTCCTCCAGTATAAAAGACTGAAAACTTTTTAAAAATTAAACAATACTTAATAAACTAATATCCATCAAATACAGCAGACAAATCCTTCATTCTCATCAATAGCTTTTAAATTTGGATAACTAAACAACCAAAGCTTTCTTTTCATAAAGATTTTTATGCATATATTTCAACTCACCGTATTAAGTCCCAATTATACAGCTCAACTAGATCCCAAGCGAAGACACGCAATTCCCAAAAACACTCTCCCCCCCACATACCCCACCCCCCCCCCCCCCCCCCCCCCCCCCCCACACACACACCAACAGTGACGCACTTATAGACAGCAATGCGAGTGCGGTGCCTGTCACGCTAAAACGTTCAGGGCTAACTCACATTAATGTATTCGTCTGCATCCCGATTACAGACCATTTCTTTAGGGAAATCTTGCTTTTGATCACTGCGAATAACCGTATACGTAGCGTTTAAAAAATCGCGTCAGTATAAATTGTCATTTAATTTTTTTTTCCAATTTGGTAATGTAAATCACACGGTGTACCTAGAAGACACTGATCATTTTCATACGCCAAATAGCTAGCGGAGACCACGTCCAAGGGCAGAAAATTGGTCATTTTTTTTATCAAAGAATTAATAAACACACCTAAGCATGCACATACATTAGCAAGTCCATGATGTTAAAACAATTTTATATGCATAAAGATGTCAACCTCCAGTCTTTCCCCAAGCACAACAAATGACGCAACAAGCCTATCCGTGTATCCGCGAGGGATGCGAGGTGTCTTTAACATATTATTGCGAACTCCAGAAACAGAAATATACATATCCTGAGCTATAACTCGTAGATTTGATAAAATAACGTTACGGAGTTTTCCAGATTAACCTTTTTAAGGAAACACATGAGTGTAACTTAGCGCTAGCTTAGATACCTCATACGCACCTCATACAAAGTCGCACGTTAGATTTAAATACACTTATACGTTTCTTCATAGCAAAACACATAAAAACTACGCAACAAAGACAAAAATTTAATTTAAAAAATATCCAATCTGACACCTATTTTCCTTAAATAATAAAAATACAGTCATTACGCAATGTATGAGGCTGCCAAATTATACAGCAAGCTAGCTCGCTACATCCCGAATTAGAAAAAAAAGACGAGACATCAAATCCTGCACAGGTCTCCCGAAATGTCAGAAAAAGATGATATTCAGGGAAAATGAAGACGAACTGGTTTCTTTCACTGCGTTACTTTAAGAACGAAATAACTATCTAGTCAGCAGGCTACAAGTTAGCTGCCTAGCCAGGCAGCTCGCGAAGCTGAATTTAAAATCTGCTTACAAAGGGGTGTGGAAGCAGCCTAGGAAAGAAAGCATGAAGTATAAAAACTAGAAAAGGAAACAAATCATTCACTAATAATGTACTAATTACTGCAACTTTAGCTGGCTACAAAGCAAAGGAGTTTTCAGAAACGTCAGAAAATGACACAGACAAACACACCTCCTCCCACCAAACGCGCAAATTAATTTTCTTCTCATCCCACTGAAATGTTAAAGCGGGAGAAAATACTCTGACGTATTCTCCCCGCCTCTCTACACCGGCTAACAATAAATGTACAATAATTTAAAAGACAAGATTAAACACTCGCGTGTGTACAGCGAGCACCTCGAATCAGCGCAGACACTCAAATGAGACCTTATGTAGCTAATTCACACTTACAGTCTCTCCTCTCCGCTCTCTGCGGCGGCCATTTTTTTTATTTAAATAAATAAATAATTTCACTACACATCTTTTGCGGGCACCCCCCTCCCTTCGCCGCCCTCCTAACACACGCCGTCTCCGCTCGGAAGCAGTCGCGCGAGAGCTCCTCTTCAAGCAAGCGCGCTGAAACCCCGCGAGAACAAGAAAGCAACTGCGAAATCGTTTTCATCCGAAAAGGATCCCCGGCATTCTCCGCCTACAAAGAGTAAATTGATACATGTCGATTGGCTTTACGGAACGTCGTTGATGCTTTGTGTAACTGTCATTGGCCGCAAAATATAAATTGTACGTCAATCTTGCGCCGGAGTTGGTAGGCTGTAGAAAATCCCACTGGTAGAAATTATTTTTTATCACCAAATTAGGAGGCAATATTTTTCGAAAACAACGCACTAGAATCTCATAGGCTTACACAGGTCACATTGATTCTCTGGACCAATCGAGACAATCCCGTTGGATCTTCTCAGACATCGATATGATATAATGATAAATGGTTTTAATGATTGTGTACGTTTGTGCTACTTTTAAGTACAATTACTTTACCGACCATATGAAGATGATTTCCTTCTACTGTAGCAATACTTAAAAAGATGCATAAAGGTTACAGTATGCCATAAAGCAGCCAGTTCCCACTTCTGAACTTTACTTGTGAAAATGTCCTATTTTCTGCAAGTGTAATTGCAATTTAGTCATACAGAAATTGTGTATAGAACTTTTACTAATTAAATGCAAGTAAGGCTTTTTCACTTCCACCCATTTACCCAATAGAGGGTCACAGAAATTGCCTAGAGCCTATCCCAGGCCATACAGGGCACAAGGCTGGGGATAGAATGATCACAAACCACACACATGCATTCACTAGGTCACCAAACTACATGTCTTTGGCAGGAAACCTGCATGACATGGGGAACAAACTCACATACCCAGGATTCAAACCCACAACACTGAAAAATAACGCAGTAGTACCATCCACACTCTATTTACTTCCTTTCCTTCAATGTTATCTTTAATATGAATACATTATTCAATAGTCTGACTTGATTCTATGACTTTATAACCTACAGCAGATTCTTTTCTGTTTAACAAGCTCTCATAACCAGTTGCCCCATCAGATGAGCGACAGTGTATTGTTTTGTGTACAATTACTTAATTACTGACCATTCGAAGAAGTTCTCCTTCCTTTAGAATTTTTATTCATTTTCATTGAGAGAGCATATTGTAATTTCAACAACCATACCATACAAAGATTTGTCTATCACTACTTCAAGTAGCCAACCTCTGTATTGAACTTAGAGATGGTTCTAGGAATTTTTAACTGGGGTAACCCAAGTGTGACATAGGTATATCTAGAGGTGTCCACAATGTGTGTGGAATTTTTATATGCATTAATATTCTACTAATAACAGGCTAAAATGTGAATTAATAGGCTAAATGCACACATAATTGTTGATGTTCAGTCTCCTATTTGGCATAACCTTTAAGGTAGTAGGCTAGCATTAACCATGACAAATAAACAGAACATCTTCTTGAGTTCATTTACAAAATTTAAGGCTACATAGTCAACTGCTCTAAGCAAACCACCAAACTATTATACCTGAATTTATAGGAAACAAAATTATGCAGGAATGCATCACAACCTACCCATGTAAGGTGCCTTGGGGTGACTGTTGTGAAAGGTTGATAAATTGAATTGAAAAACTGCATTGGATAAACCCTGGATTCTATATTCCTCTAAATGAACAAAAATGACTAATCTGAATGACATAATATATATCATACATTGCAACATACCGCATACCGGTATAATAAGACAATTAGCCAAGATGTTTTGGATAATGAATAAAAAAGATTCTTTAGATATTTAAGGTGGTTAAAGTTATGGACTTAGTTCTGCAGAACAAATTCCAAGGTGTTAGCAAACCCTGCCACGGGACACCAACATAACCAATTTATGGTTTTAATCAGCCCTGGCGCCAGAACGGGCTATGCGTCTTGCGTGGGCGGGGGGGGGGTGTACAGTTTAACTCATCGAGAGTAATACTGGTAACACTGCTATGACAAACCTGCTATGTAAAACAGCAACTAACAGACACTCACTGACAAAGTAAACGACAAACTGAATGTCAGCGCATGCGACTATCACTATGCAAAGATACCAAATGTGACTGACCGGTCAGAAGAGCTTCAGTCTGCGCCGGTAACTTAAGTTAAATATGTGTATCCTGTGTAAAATATTTTCGGTAACACTTTGACAGGGCACAAATAATATAGTATTATACTATTACTTATGCATTAATTATAACCACAAACTAAGTCTTAGTTACATACTGATCTTATGTTAATTCATCATTAATGAACCGTGACGCATGTTTTATCAAGCAGTTACTATATTTCTAGGGTTGTCGCGGCTGACTCAGACTCACATAAGAAATCTAACGGCAAGTCTGCATTATTATATTATAGAAACAACAATTTGCTGCATCAAAAGCGTTGATCTCCTGTTTGTTCATCATTTATGAATTGTGACGCATGTTTTATCTCAAGTAGCGACTACATTTGTTAATGATTTGCTGATAATTTGTACTCAAGTAGCAACTGAGTTATTACTATTATTAGGAATTTGTGCCCCGTCAAATGAAGTGTTACCATATTTTCTAATGTACATTTTACATGCATATTTATCTAGATTCGCTCAATATAGCTTATGCTAGTCGGTCAGAAAAAATGAGCCTCCGCCCACCTCCAAATTAACGTAAATTTTTACCAGTCAATAATTTTGCCTGTTTACTGTTCAATATTAAACTACTTTTAATACCAACTTATTATTAATTTATCTCAGTTCAGCTTTTTATTTATTTTTACAATGTATACACTATTACGTAAGCCTATTATTTACTTTTGAAAACTTGTCTTCCCATCTTTCCGGAGCCCCTCAGAGGTCAGGATGGGAAATATTTTTTGAAATATTTTGTGTTCCCTCGCAATACTTTTCCGTTACTATTAAAAAACCGCACAATGTCCGTTTAAAGTACAAATACTAATAAGTATAAATCGAAGCGATAGACATGTCCCGTTAAGTGTGCTTTAAGTATTAAACTATGGGGGACAATGCACACCACGTAACTTTAATTCACATATGTGTTTTTATACGTATTTACTAATAATTGTACTCTGTCCATTCACTGTATGTTTACAAGACAGCTGGGCTATAGGTATGTTCAGAAAAGTCTGATTTAAGAAATGGACTATGGCCTACGGTCGACAATGCACACCACGTGAAATTCAGATTACGTAGGCCTATTTTTATTTTCATTAGTATAATTGCACTGTGTCCATTCACCACCCGCTATTGAACGTTAAATGTACCTGAGAAAAAACAAATATTAACTGATATTCACTATAAAGTCAAACTGCCGAACCAACGCCTTGTTACATCAGAGATCTTGTCTTTTCTTAGCTACTAACAAGATTCAGCACACATAGCAAAAAGGCTCGGAACGCAAAAATGATCGGTGTGCATCCCTGCTGGTGAATATTAAAGATGTGTGATTAAACACTACTGGGCTTGCTTACTGAAAAATATCACAAACTGAATATTGAATATACAGCCAATTTTACCACAGTCATAGCATTATTGAGGACAAACCATTTTTCAGAGTTTCGGAAAGCTAATTTGTTACTTTTTCACTTTGAAAGGTCCACGCACTGTTTGAGACTCGTGATCCTGAAACTTAACCTGCTCCGTGGTGATGTATTCCACTAAGAGAACCAACATCGTGATATCGAGAAGCCAGAGCTTATCCACAAACTTATCAGCTAGGCAAGGCATCCAGCATCGTAATACAGTGGCCTGTACTACGAAGCGGGGTTACTGGCTTATCGGGGTAACTTGTCGGATTTAAGGTACCACAGTTTAAATGGACTTCATATTCGCTCACTTACATTTTGCCCAGACTACCTTAAATCCAACAAGTTACCCCGATAAGCCAGTAACCCCGCTTCGTAGTACAGGCCACCGGACTCAGATGTACTCGGTATAAACAAACTTTTGTTGGCCAACCACCCGGAGGTAGAAGCCAATGACGTGGCAAAAATTTTGGGGTGGTATCTGAGGTGGCCAATCTGATTAACACACCTTTAAAATCGCGTATTATTAGACTATGCACATTCAGATAAAAGTTGTAGGGAGGTTCCATAAGCGTTCACAATAGGTATCACAGGGTAAATAATTTTTGTACATAATATGTACATCAGTAATGCGCCTTTTAGCAATATCAATATTTCTATACACAATATTTTGCTCCAAGCATCATATCTATTCTTCAAATATAATATAGTTGGGCATGTACTAAGTTAAAATTAAACAATAAAATATAATAAACGTGAATAATTAAACGTTATAAGTCACACTTGAAGTATAACATTTCCGCCACAAGGTAGCGACAAAAAGCAAAATAAAAAACGTAAATGTGCAAAACTATCGAAAATATATTTTTGGTGCCGAAGAAAATATTTGCTGAAGGATTTGCCACCTATTATATCTCTAGACAGGACTATGAAAAATTAAGAATTATTTGGGATTTTTAACAAAGGTATAATAAACAGGTGAGGTTTATTTGACAGCATGGCTATGAATTGGACGTTTATTTTTCATGTTACATTTTTTACACTTAAAATTTTTGAAATGTATGAACATTCATTCATCTTCCATACTGATTATCCAACAAAGGGTGATAGTGAGAATAAGTCATTCACAAACAGCATAATCACATTTTTTTTATTAATATTGTCTACAAAAATTATATGGCATCATACCTCTTATGGACCACATGGGTGATAACAACTACTGTCCAACCAACAAAAATGTTTTTGAAATATTTGAAAATACAGCATGGCTACTAATAATAATATCAAACTTTAAAACATTTATGAATGGAAGCAGCAGCCAACAGTAAGAATTTAGAGAATTGCATTTTTAAGAGAATAAATGGAACTGCAACAATTTTTAACTACTGTCATCTATTCTTACATGAACCCAAAGTAATTCCACAAATTTTTCCTATGCAATTACTTATATATGTCCATCCATAACCACTCAAACAGTACCGGGGCCTGGTGAGGCTGAAGTATATGCCAGTAAGCATAGGGCACAGAGAAAAGAACACCATGGGCACCAGTAAACGGTCCAGTGGAAAACACACACAATCACATGCTAAGTGCAATTTAAGCCAGTTCATCTAGTAATACTAAATCATTAAAATAACAAACAAGAAAAGACTGCATGTTGCACTATCAGGTGTAATTTATTGCTTGAATAACTCTTAGAAGTAGTGCCTGTAAAGAGAACAAAAGGATTGTTTCACAAATTTAGATATGTTTGTCTTTTGATTTTTCTGACGTTAAATCAATTTGTTTTAGTCATTAGTTATATTAATGGAAATTGAAAAATAATTTCCAAAAAATAAGTTCAATTTAAATTTCAATTATTTGTTTGTTTAATAGAAATTTATGTATATATAAAAAGCAGTAAGTATACTAAATGGACTTGCCATTCTTAAAATGGTTTACTTAAATCACAGTTGACAACATACACCGATCAGCCATGACATTAAAACCATCTGCCTAATATTATGTATAGGTCTCCTTTCTGCAAGAAAAAACAGCTCTGAACAATGAAGGCATGGACTCCACAAGACCTCTGAAGGTGTCCTGTGGTATTTGTCACGAAGATGTTAGCAGTAGATCCTTTAAGTCCTGTAAGTTGCAAGGTGGGGCCTCCTTGGATTGGACTTGTTTCTCCAGCACATCACACAGCAGCTCGATTGAAGATCTGGGGAATTTGGAGGCCAAGTCAGCACCTTGAACTCTTTTTTATGTTCCTCAAACCATTCCCGAACAATTGTTGCAGTGTGACAGGACGCATTATCCTGCTGAAAGAGGCCACTGCCATTGGCAAATATCTTTGCCATGGAAGGGTGTACTTGGTCTGCAGTAATGTTTAGGTGGTACATATTAAGGTAATTTCTACAAGAATCACAGGACCCAAGGTTCCCAGCAGAACATTGCCCAGAGCATCACACTGCCTCCACCAGCTTGCCTTATTACCATAGTGCATCCTGGTGCCATGTCTTCCTCAAGTAAACAATTCATAAAAACCTAATCATCCACATGACGCAACAGAAAATGACACTATCTGACCAGGCCACCTTCTTCCACTGCTCCATTGTCTTCTGGCAGTGGACAGGGGGCAGTATGGGCACTCTGACTGATCTGTGGCCACGCAGCCCCATACAAAGCAAGCTGCAATGCACTGTGTGATCTGACACCTTTCTATCATAGCCAGCATTAACTTTTTCTGCAATTTGAACTACAGTAGCTCTCCTGTGGTATTGGTCCAGGTGGGCTAGCCTTTGCTCCCCATGTGCCTCAATGAGCATTGGGCATCCATGAACCCATCACTGGTCCACTGACTGGCCAACCTTGGACCGTGTTTGGTAGGTACTGATCACTGTATACCAGTTACACCACACACGACCTGCCATTTTAGAAATGCATTGGCCCACTCATCTTGCCATCACAATTTTGCCCTTGTCAAACAGCGCTTTTCCACTGGCATACAGGAACAGAGTGGTACCCGACCTGTACCACGAACTGAGACTAGATCCTCCTCGGTTCCGGCTCACTTCGGTTTTCCACTGCGGAAGGGATGGCTCAGTAAAGGCTTTGCCAGGTTTGGAGAGTGATAGTGACATAAACCTGCTTATTTACTTATTTGTTCACCTGTTCTACAGTATTTCTTTAAGTTGGATGTTGGAAATGTTCTAAGTTATCGGGAAAGGCTCAGTACATCGTGATACTAATAATGCATAATATATGGAATATGTCCCTTTTCCCCTTATCGATGTAGATCTTTAGTATCTCCGTGTATTTCGCCCAATCAGAGGGTGGCGAGGCTATGTTTGGTCACGCTTTCGGCCCTGCTAGTAAGGAGTGTCAAGTCAGTGAAGGTACAGCTCTGGTACGGCTTGCATACTTTGCAATGGAAAACTGTTAGTTTGCGGGTATGGCTTGGTTCCTGCATGGTGGCAGTGGAAAAGCTCCAAATTTATTTATTTATACACATCCATTTTTCCTGTTTACAAAATATCCTTTATGAACTGACTGTTCACTTGCATAATTTATAGTGGCACAGGTGCCATTGTGACAGGTGCCATTGTATCAAGATCAATGATATTCATCTTACCTGTCAATGGTTTTCATGATATGGCTGACCGGTGTATAGCTACATGTTGTCACGTCACACCAAACATCTAAATTCACATATTTGAAGAAGAAGAAAAAAAAAGACACTGGCCCGTACGGGGATCGAACCCGCGACCTTGGCGTTATTAGCACCACGCTCTAACCAACTGAGCTAACCGGCCATACACGCGCTTACTCTTATTCCACATAAATGTCTCATTTCAACACACTCCACTGACGGAATATTCAAAAGTTTTAAAGTCTCTATCTTCCCGATAGTAGTCAGGATTTACGAGGATCGGCGATTTTTAGCCAACGCCTCAACCAATGCAAATAACCTTAACTGGGTAAAGCTAACTTGGTGTCCCCATGATCATTTTCACCCCAGCGTTCAGCTGCAACTAATACTAAATAACGTCTAAACGTCCACGTTAAACGGCCCTTTCATTGTAAATGTTGTTTTCTTTATAATGAAAAAACAATAGGGTGCCATCAGATACGCTGCTTGGATCCCTAATGAAATACAAATCATTAAGCGTTTTATTCTCTAGTCTCTAATTTGAAGAATAGATTAAAGCTAGCTCGTTGTATCCTGCTGGGATCGCGTCAGTTCATGTTTTTCCACGTTTGTACAAATATGGTAAATAAACGTACTGAACGGCCGGAATGTCTACATTACTAGGATTGCACTTACCTTTGTTTATCAAAATATGCTCCTAGTGACAGATTTAAAACACTTCTATGATTTTTTTATTATGAGCATAAAGTTGCATGTGTTACATTGGTCCATACACTCCTAACGAGTATTTTGATCACATTCTGCTCCACGAAGAAGCAAAGGTCATCATCAATACATTGACAAATCAGAATTTGGCTCGCTAATTTGACCTACGGATAAACTTCCTGATAGCTAATAATATATCGTTGGGTCGTGGTTCTAGTGTTTTAAGCTTTTAAGAGACATTGAAATAGGAAAATAAGCGTAATGTTTTTGCACGTTCGTGCTTGGTGAAAAGTCTGCTTGCTGAATTTAAGGGCCTCACGCAATAAAAGTGTAACTAATAAGTTCATAAACCATTGTGCTATATGTAGTCCCTTATAGAATTTTTCACCAGACGCCCATTTTCTGTAATTCGCCCTTAACCGTCGAAAGCTATTAAGCATTACACGTTTTGGGGGAAAACGCCGTGTTCCTTTTGACCAAGTCTCTCCTGGTCGCCGGGTTATTTCAGCAGAACATGTGGATCCTTCTCTTTCTCTGCGCGACCGCCTGCTCCTGGCCGCAGTGCTGCGCGCGTGACTTCGACGAGGTGGAAGCGCGAGGCCGCGCGGAGCTCCGGAGGCTGCAGGGCTTCGCCGCGCAGCCGGTCTACGGCGCGTGCTGGTCCCGAGCCTTGGAGCGGATCCGCGCCAGATGCCGCCAGTTCACCGAGGAGACCCAGAGCCGCGTTGCGCTGGCTTTCACCCATTGTCACCTTCGCAGGTGATGGAATTACTGTTTGGTGGCTGGATCTTGTGCTTCCGTTTGTAATTTGTATAATCTGTTTTCATAAGGAAGTGGAAATCCTATGGGTTAAACGCAGAGGGTCACCTTTTAATATTTTCCACAGTTATTTTCAGTCTTTCAGTTTATCACTCAGATTAACTGTTAAGAGTCTAGTTGATCACCTTGCTGTGTCAGGATTTATCAATGCAATATTATGATCTGTGTATGGCTGGAAGTGGAACTGTATTGGGTGTGTAATTTTTTCCCGTAGATCAAATCGCCCATTCCCGGAATGCATGGATGACAGCAACGTGAAGGAATGCACACAAGACATGGATCCTGTGGCTTTCATTACATATACAGAGTTCTTCACCCACGTTCACAGTATCTGCCACTTCCTGGAGAGTGAGCACTGGCAGCACCGTGCAGAGGGCACCATTCACAGGTGACGAAATGCAGTGGGAACTCCCTGTTGTGGGAGACTTTGTGCACCTCGGGCCCCACAGTAACAGCTCCGGTGCCGTTTTCCTGCAGGCTGACCGAGAGTTCGGCAGGAGTGGCTGAACAGCTGGCCTCGACTCAGCGCATGGCTGAGGATTTGGTGCAGGCCCAGCGTGTGGCCCTCAAATCCCAAGAGGCCATACTGCGTAATGGGGAGGAACTCAAGTTTACACTGCATGACTCCACACAAGGTGATTGTATTGGTAACAGTATACCGGGTGTGTGCTCTCTGGCAATTTTTTGCCTTTCTAGGGGAAATGCGAGTCCAAATGCATTTTCCAAGGACCATCTGGACTTTCTTGATACCGTTGGATGTTTTTTTTGGCATTTGCACATCTTCATCTCTTCACATTGTTTCTTCACACTGCCTATTCTGTTTGAATATGTCTCGGCCAATCCGATTGTCCAATTTCGTACCTCTCATGCACTCTACTGGCCCTGCAGGCCTGAAGGATGTCTTTGCAGATCTGCAGCACACTGCGCAGGAGCAGCAGTTGGCGTTCTCCGAGATCTTTGGCCGCATAGCATTCCTGCAGAACTTTGTCATGTCGGAGTCCCATACACTGGGCTCCCTGCTATACAACACACTGGGGCTATGCATCGCCTTCTTGCTGACAGCCACCAAGCGCACTGCTGCAGCTAGGTGGGCTTCCATTATTTGAACTGGTGACACAGTACTCATGCAAGACTGCCATATTGTTTGTAGTTAACAGCAATGGGAAGCTTATTCAGAAATTAAAGGTCAGAGATTTCAATTTTCAATTTCAATTCTTTATTGTCATGTGTACAAGTACAAGTACCGTGTACAATGAAATGCTTACTTGCATGAGCTCCTGCAGACAGTGAACATAGACAGCAAGACAGACAACAGGATGACAAGAGATGACATGAATGATAAAGTGAATTTTAAATAAGTAGAATAAATAAGACCTGTAAAATAAATAAGACCAAGT